GTCTCTGGATGTCCCCGGTTCCTCTCCCGGACTGGTCACCAGCTGTGCCCCTGCTCCCTACCCTACCCTGCCAGCAGCTTGGGGTGTCCCTGCCTGCCTCACATCTCTTCCTTGGGGACCCGGGGACATCTCAGAGCCCCGGTCCAGGTTCTGGGCACTATGGTGGGGTGGCTTCCTGGAGCCCCTAGAAGGCTCAGAGCCCCCCCCCAGCATGGGCGCGTCTGGCCTCGGAGCTGCTTCCCGCCAGCTCTTCCTGGCCGGGGCCCCTCTCTGTGCAGCCCCTCCTCCCGCCTGCCAGGAAAGGCTCTGAGCCGGGCCTGCTGAGTCCTGTCCCCCCTGCGCTCTTGGCCCCAGCAAGCGAGCGAGGGGAGTGGAGCTTTGCAGCCTGATGCAAGACCTGGCAAGGCCCGGCCTCTTATCAGGGCTCCCTCCCCGCCCCCTCCCTGGCTGTGCTGCTCACCCACCTTCCCTAGGGGCGGCCGGGCTGGGCAGCCGTCCACGTGGGGCCGTGCGAGGGGAAAGCTTGCTCTATGGCCGACTGAGGAGGCCCCGTGCCAAGTCCTGAAGGAGGCCGAGCAGAAGGACCCCTAGGGTAGAGCCGAGGGGAAGCGGGTGCCCGCTTGCAGCAGCTTGCAGGCCGGAGCCCGCTTTTCCTTCCACCTCCTTCCCTTTCTCCTGGGGCCCTTTCCTTCCGCGCAGTGGCACGCAGCTGTGAGGCGCTGGAAAGGTCTGCCCATAGCGCACCCAGCGCTGCAGGTGTCCGTCGCAGCGCCCCTGGCACAGGTCCCTGGCACACACCATAGTGTGCACGCACAGCGCCAGCTCCTAGCGTGTGCACATGGTCCACACACCCACGGGGCAGCTGTGGTTTCGTCTTCCTCTTGTCTTCTCTCTCTCTCTTTGTTTTTTGGGGGGAGGGTGTTGGGTGTTTTTGAGACAGGGTCCCATTATGTAGCCCAGGCCTCCCAAGTGCTGGGATTACAGGCTTGCACCACCCCACCTGGCCCTCCTCATATTTTCCACCAATCTGGACTGACTAAGCATCTTGCTTTGTGCAAAATGCTTTGGGAAGGGCATTCGTTCGTTCATTCAGTCATTCATTCATTTAATCATCAACAAGTAATTATGGCCAGGTGTGGTGGCGCACACCTGTAATCCCAGCACTTGGGAGGCTGAGGAGGGAGGATCTTTGTGAGTTCGAGACCAGCCTGAGCTACAAAGTGAGCTCAAGTCCAGCTTGAACTGCATAGTGGGACCCTGTCTCAAAAAGACAAAAAAAACACATAATTATGGAGTATCTGCTCTATGTGGAGCACAGTTCCTGGCTCTGGGAACAAAGGTGGAGCGGACATTCCTGTGGATGAAAGAGGCCCTGTCCATCCCGGGAGGAAATGAAGCAGGGTGCGGAGGGGAACGGGGTGAGGGAAGCTCACCGTGAAGCTGGTGGCCGGGAGGGACTCAGAGAAGGGGACCCGGAGCTGAGACCTGAATGTTAGGAGACCTAGGAGCTGCTGGAAGAGCCTCAGGGCAGGGACCAGCCTTGCTGAGGAGCAGCCTAGAGCCCCAGGCTGGAGGCAGCACAGCCCAGGGCCCAGTCAGATCAGCACTGGGGGCTGTGTGCCCAGGCAGGGAAAGTTCAGAGCAGGAGGTGGCTGGGAGTCCAGGAAAGACGAAACTGCTGCGAAGGACCGGGAGAGGTGAGCGGGTGGCGCTGCCATCGCCTAGGGAGAGGGTTCCTAGGGAGAGGCATTGAGCCCATGCAGGGTCCCAAAGAAGTGGCCGTGCGCAGCCAGTGGGACCTGCGGCCATTGCGGCAGGGAGGCACAGGCCAGACGGGGAGGCCAGCGTGGAGGGACGCAGAGGAGGATGACCCTTTGAGAGCTCTCGATCGATAGCTATCGTGACAACGCGTCCCAGCCCGGCGTTGGCTCCTGGTGGGTGGGCGGGTGCGGCTCCCTGGGTTCTTCGGTCCCTTGAGCGGCTCCTGCGTCCGCCGTGCCGGGGGCGGTGCGCTCTCGCCAGTTGGCGGTCGCCATGAGAGAACTCTGCCCTTGGGCTCCCCTGCCCGCCTCTGCTGTTTGCCCCCAGCAGGCAGAGCTGGGCTGGCAGCTGCCACTGGTCTGGCATCCTCCGAGTGTGGCCTCCACGGGCACCCAGGCCTTCCCTTGGGCTGTGGCACGACGGCAGCGGGAGGAGGCAAAGGCAGCAGGCGAGCCGGGCAGAGTTGCCCGTACGCTGAGGCTGGGGAGTTGGACGCACGGTCCCCCAGGGTCGCAGAAGCCCCAGCCGGCTCCTGGCACCACCTCTGGTGGAGGAGGTTCTTCGGGGCCTCAGCCAAGTGACCTGGCCTGGGCCCTGTCCCCCTCCTTCATGACCCTGTGGGCTCCTGCACCCATGTCCTTCTCCCACTTCCGGACTCTGGGGACCCCCCATGCTCCTCCTGGAATCCGCAGACCCCCTGTCCTGCCCCTTGGGCTCCGCAGCAAACCAGGAGCAGCCTGCCAGGGCCGGGGTGGAGCCAGGAGCCCACCTTGTTTCGAGCCAGCCGCTTTCCAGCCTCGGTGCTTCCTTTTAGGGCAATGCAGGGAAGGATCCTAGGAGCTCTGTATTGTTCTGGGGGTGCGGAGGCTGGGGCAGCAACTCAGAAATAGAACGTCTCTGGAAGGGAGGGGGAGGAGAAGCGTCATCAAGGCCACCCCACGCCTCAGTCTCCAAGTTGTTGGACCTAAGAAGGGAGAAGGCGGCTAGGCCACGCCCCCTGCCCCACCCGCCTTCTCGCGTATTTAACAAACACTGTCCAGCACCACATGTGTTCCTTTTCCGTGCAGTAAGCTTACGTGGTAGAGATGGCACTTTTCCTGCTACAGGGAACAAACTGAAGCCCAGAAAGGCTAAGTCACTTACAGAGGGGGTTGCACAGCATGGTAGTGACTCAGGAAGCGCTAGAATCCTGGGCTTCTGACTCCAGCGCCTCTGGTTTCCCCAACATCGTCAGGCGCTGGCAGCCCTCACCCGAGAGCTGGAGGGCAGAAAGTCAGGGTGTTAGCACCTCGCACCCCGCAGATGTGGTCCTAAGTCTCAGCCTCTGAATGAGGCAGGCAGCCTTGTGCCACACCTTGGGCTAAGTGGGGTGCACAGGGAACGGGGCCCCGTGGGCATTCCACACGGGCAGGGGCCACTCTTGGTCTGGGAAAAGGAGCCAGACAGCCAGCAGCTGGAGAGCCCCCTCCCTGTGTGTTATCAGGGGTCCTGGGCATCAAGAGGCTTGAGTGACTTGAGCTCCAGCGGGCCCGATGCTTGCTGCTGGAGGAACCTTGGGTGGGTGCCTTAGCTGCTCTCAACTCAGTCTTCTTGTCTGTCAGATGGGCCCATTGCTACCTCTAGGGCTTCAGTGAGGGGCTTGGTGTGGCACCGCTCAGGAAACGCCAGCCACCTGTCTCACTGCAGGAGCCATCGCATCCACACTGCGGTCCCGTGGGGCGCCAGCCATGCCTGCTTGCTCTGTTGTTCTCTGCTACGTGCTGGGGCCCAGGACAGAGGCTGCTTGAGTACCGGAAAAGGCCCAGGAGAGGGAAGAGGTCCCTTCCGCTGTCCTTCCTGGGTCCCCCGCCCACTCACACTCTGGAAGCTCCTCCAGCTCTCTGCACCTCCCCACCACCCGGGGACCTCCTTTCCCCACAGGGCATATTTTCTGGCAGTCCCCAAGGTGTAACAAGGGTACAGTCTATATCCCCCATCTGCATTTTTTTGGGGGTCTTTTTGAGACAGGGTCTCTCTATGCAGTTCAGGCTGGACTTGAACTCACTTTGTAGCCCAGGCTGGCCTTGAACTCGGCAATGATCCTCCTGCCTCAGCCTCCTGAGTGCTGGGATTACCGGTCTTTGTCACTACACGTGGCCCCCCCATCTGCATTTTCTCACACTTCTTTTTTTTTTTTGCCAAATGGGCTCACCTGCCTCAGAGGTCCGAAGCCTGTGATGCTTTGGCACCTCCTGGCACCCGACGACATGTGACAGTGTCCTGAGACGTTCTGATTGTCACAGTTGCATGGCGCTGTGCTGCTGGTGAGAGGACCTCGAAGAGGCCCAGGACACCCAGCATGATAGAATGGGCTTTCCAGCCTGAAGTGTCACCGTGCAGAGTTTGAGCCACCTTTCCCTTCAGCTCCTTCATCAGCACCCAGCGTCTGCACCGTACTTTTCAAAACCTCTGTTTTGTGAGTTATTCACATGAACTTTCATACATCCACCTCATATTTGTGGCCACCTAGTAAACCCTTGCAGGGATGCCCGCCGTTTTTTATGTAGTTGCCTTTAGTCTCTTGCTGTTATACACATTTCTGCCGCTAGGGGCATTCCGTCCTGTCTGAGTCACGTGTCACTTAGCAACGAGGGGATGCCTTCGAAATGCCACGCCAGGCTATCTTGTCCTGGTCCGAACGTCCCAGGGTACATTACATAAACCCAGCCCTGGTGGAGGGGCCACCCTCTCACCTTTTGTTCTCACATAGGGTGCTGTGGAATCCAGGGCCTCATGCACGCTGGGCAAGCACTCAACCACTGAGCTGCATCTCCGCCCTCTTCTTGGCCTCTTGATGCCCTCAGAGACCTGGTGAACATGAGACATACGAGGCTGTTGCCGACGTGCCATGCCACATTGCTTTAAAGTCAGGGTGCCCCAGCTCAGATAAAGACTTGCTTTGGTGTTCCTGTAAAAAACAGTAAGAAAGTCAGTTATCTGGCCCATGCCTGTCATCCCAGCACTTGAGAGGCTGAGGCAGGAGGATCACCACAAGTCTGAGGCAGCCTGAACTACATAGCAAGACTCTGTCTCACACCTCCCCCGAAAATACTCACCTCAAGTCCCCAGGGCATAGTCTGCCTTGAGAGTGGCCCTGGGGACCTGATGCTAGGTAGGGCTGGGACCCTAGAAGCTGAGTGGACAGGTGCCCTCTGTGCCTCATCCGCAGACCTGGCATCTGACTGTCAGTCTCTCCACAGGACGAGGGTGACCCCACCCGAAGAAGACGGGCTGGGGCCTGACGCTCCCGAGCTGAGTGCCCACCGCAGCCGGGAAGCCCTACCGCCCCAGGCCCATGGAGAAAAGACTCACTGTAGCCCAGGACTGCCGGGACTTTGTGCACAGCCTGAGGATGAGGAGCAGATACGCGCTTTTCCTGGCCTTCGTGGTCGTAGTTTTCGTCTTCATTGAAAAGGAGAATAAAATCATATCGAGGTGAGGGGCTCCGAACAAGGCTTCCTCTGCACAGTGGGGCAGCTGTGGACACAGGAGATTTTGGGGCTCCCTGTGGGCCTGCAGGGCAGCCGGGGACGGGGACAGAGACGGCTGCCCCGGGCTAGGAGCTCCGGAGAGCAAGACGCTTTACTTTTCTGAGTCTCTGGCCCGTCTTCTGCAGCTGTGGCTGATGTTGGGCTCTGCCTCGTTGGAAAGACTAACAGAGAAAACGCGAGGGGGTGTGGCCCAGTGCCCAGCAGGTGGCTGATGCCCGTATTTGCTGGCTGTGACTACATGTTATTGTTATTAATATTAATTAATT